ACTTACAATAAAGCTCGTCAAGCCAATGGGGCGGGAGGGGACAATTACACCAGGTTTGGCCTATACAGCACATTGTTTATTGCCATGATATGTAGGATTTTTGCGGATTTTGCTCTGGATTGAACAGTGGTCTCGCACTCGTCAGTCCGTTTTGATTTGCTTTAGCTATGTTCTGGATGCGTAGACGAAACTTTTTTAGTTAAGTAAATTATTTATGCAAGTTAAGCTCAATTCAACTTCTTGATCCGTTCCAAAATTCTTCGGACGACACACGATATATCACCAAAATTACCTGCCTTATGAACTTTCACTGTTGTACTTTCTCAATACTGTCAGGGAAAAAATAAGATAGCCAAAGTCGGACTAACAGTTAAGGGGGCGCGGACTCCTTTCATACTTAAGTAAAAATTTTAATATGCTATGCCCTTACTCTGAGTTTTAATGAAGTTAGGTTTGATTATACTGAGAGTCAGCAGCATGCAGCAGTGTGATAGCATAACAAAATAACGTCAGCAATACATAAGCAAGAACTTTTACGAAGTCGATTACTGATCGTTTTGCCTTTCCTTTTTTAGTCGCTGCTTGGTATCTTTTTTCTACCATATAACGCAATGAGAACAACGAATATCATTTTCTCCTCATAGGAATGCTAAGTATAAATGTAATTTTTGCGCTGCCGCATTTCACATGAAATTACCGTCTATGTGACACAGGGAATATTTTTATTTCCATTTATTAATATCGTCTATCATTCGTCATTAGGATATGGCAGGTGAGACGTAAGTTTCCATATAAAGGTTAGCCCGCACAGTTGAACGATTTCATCGTTCTTTGCTTTTGGATAAACAGAACTCTACTCCCCTCACAATCATTCTGCCTGTACGGAACCTCTTTGGCGGAACCAATTAATAGCATAAGTTTTAAGAGTGTCTGAATGAACACATTCGTTAACTGATCGTTTAAACGTTCATTAAGGCCTTCATGTTTACTGTAGCGACCGAGGGCAGTCACTTCACATTTGTTTCACCATTCATGCAATCCCATGTTTTACTCTACCAGCTATCATTCACAGGAACGCTAGGTTTGGGTTTGGAGCTTTTGGTGCTAGAAAACTCATCCACTCGTGGGTATTGTTTAAGGGAAAGTCTTAGTTGTTCTAGGTAGCGCAAAAATTAGCGGAAAGAGTTTTCTCAAATTTACATGCAGTTTTTTGTACCTGTTTCTTTCTTTCTAATAATTTTCCATCTTATCATTTGTGTATGATGAAATGACTGTTGATGAAGATGTTCTTAAACTGTTAATAGGGGTAGTTATTGATCTGTTTTGCTCATGCAATTTTCAGAATGACAATACGGTCGAACGTCTCTGGGGCGATATTACGTCCCGAAAGAAGCTTTCTCAGATCGATCTTGGTTTGATGATCGACGGTTATGATTGTGAACGCGGTGCCGTGACCGCCGGTACCAGAGGTTACTATCTCAAGGTGTGGTGGTCACTGATAAGTCGTTCTGTTTGAGACTGTTTTTAAATAGCGGTCTTTAATTTCAGGGTCCTCTCGTCTTCCTCGAACAGGCTTTAATCAACTTCGCACTGCAAAAATTGCTTGGTTTTGGCTTTACTCCAATCTATACTCCATTTTTCATGCGGAAAGACGTTATGCAGGAAGTGGCGCAGCTGAGCGACTTTGACGAGCAACTTTATAAGGTACTTGTCGAAAAGGCAGTTTGATTCGGTTCTGAACAGTGGTGAGTAAAGCGTACGCCCTTTTACAAAATAATAAATTAAAAACGTATTGCTAACGCAACATAAACTAAATGGCTGTCGCGCGATGCCGGGCTACAGATTCTTCGATCTTATCCCATTCATTTTAAGGATCTTTCTTCTTGTGACGTTAATTACATTAGGCATGCGGTTATGCCGCAGAATCTACGTGTTTTGCGTGATGTTAAAATAATCGTTTTAACAGCTTTGAGTTATGGTAACCAATATACAGATGTGCCACTTGTCTTAAAATAGATGGCAGGGCGATGAGTTTCTCTGAATGAGAAACGTCTCATTTATATTTCTGTGTATGTCTCGAATACCGGAGCTGTTCGTTCGGTAGAACATCGAACATAGAACCGGAAAGGTTAGATTCCGGGTCGAATCTTTCGCCTTGCTTCCTTCTATGATTAATAAATGACTACCACCGTATCGGAAGGTAACAATATGTACACTATGCCTGTCACGTTGCAGCTGTCGACTCTACTACTAAAATGCAGCACTCCTGACAGATGATATGGAAATTCAGATCAATGCATTCACCATTAATTACACCAATAGAAATGTGCCAAAATGGTCCCGTCATGAACGTTTAGCGAATACTGACATTCCATCAGTTACAGAATTTTTCCTCAGTCTGTTGGACATTTTTCCCTCATTGCTCATGGACAATGTAATACAGAGTGTTTTCCGTAGTTATCGACTCTAAGACTGTAATTAAAATCTTTAAACTTAGCAAAACTACAAGGAGCCATCGGGAAGTGATGGGAGTAAAAATAATGATTGTTACCTGATTAACCGTAGTTTACGTAAATTTAAATTGAGTAGATTGCTGTATCTTAATGATCGTTTGGATTGTCAAGCGAAAGTTTTGGAATTTATCCAAGTCAGTCTACTTATTTCTGCTGGCATTCTCAGTGACAGATTTGACTAGTTCGAAATGCTGTAAATTTCTGACAAAAACAAGCGAATAAAGGCATTTGCCTTGACATTTTCTAGTCCCAGAGTGTGCCAATTTGGATGTAACTATGAATAAGCAAGATTGGAGCTATGGATGTTGCATCTCAATTTTTTAAAACGTTTGCCTTTGGACATGACTAGTACCAGATCTTGAAACGTCGTTTGTTTTGGCTTTGGCGAACAGAATGATACGAAGTGCATCTTGCTTTACAGGGGATCAATTGCCATGCAATTGAGCCTGCATAAATGTCCTTTAAGCAAGTAGGAGCAACGGTATTGCACTATAACGTTAAATCTTGTCTTGGAGAATTTATAGTTATTTTTTCGTTTTACGTCTGTTTTTTCGTGATTTCGTTTCTGTGTTGTTTGTGGGACTTATGTTGGTATTGTTATTGTGAAACTTTTCAATTCTTTGGCATCATATGTCAAAAAATATCTCAAAGTAAGATATTTTTTACATTGTGCCCCCTTCCACCTGTGGAATGGATACAACGGAAGCTGTCTTTTGTGCCGAATCGTAAATCAGAATTGGCAAGTTTCTTTACGGGATGACACCACGTATCGAATTTTTATGCGTTCTCGCGAACGTTTCGAATCATGCTCGATCGGTCTGTTGGT